AAAAGCACTTCTCAAATGGCAAGATCCATCGCCATTATTGAATCTGAGATATATTGGTTTAAGCAATTATAATTATAAAATCAATTTTTATAATATTCGAACATTAGCCATCACCAATTTGGCGCCACCTCTGGGTAAGCTTTTATATTATTTAGTGATGAAGTTGATGTATAAATGTACGCTTACACTACTACTGATATCAATGTTGAAGTTAGTTCATTTCGATTTGAATGCATACACGTTTGCAACTTTTCAAATCGACGCTTCTTCTGTTGACCCATTTCTATTTGAAGTTTTATCCTACATTCATATATGACCTGCATGGTTCACCTTCTATTCTGAAGTCTGTCAACCATGGACATTGTGAATGTTTAAAGGTAAATAAACTTCTACTCGATACATTTCCAGTTATTATTTGCATGTTTTAAACATGTTTGTTTACTAGATTTTCGTCATATTTCTTTTTAATAAGACAATGTGATACACTAGACTCCAGTTTTCTGTCACTAGTTTTTGGGTCAGACTATCCTTCGAAGAATTAAGATGAGAAAAAATTGCATCAATCATGCTAAAATTTATAGGAATGACAAATAGCATTTGCCTGTGCATACACTTTTTTATTTTCTAAATGAATCATGATAAACTTTAAAGTGTAGAATCACATATGCTTCGTCTACTGTACTCTCTGAAATCGTTTTATAAAAACCAAACTGAACCTTTTATTTTTCTCATTGGCACTTTCAACAAAGAAAATCTCAGAATTGAAATCACTATAGAAATGTTTTTTGTTTTCTTTTGCATTTCAGTCAATATTTTGTTTTTTGTTTTAGCATCTACTGCATCGGCTGGTGAGAAACGATATCTTGTCTGTATAACGTCTATTTATGCTCATCGTGTTTCTGATATGATTGAAGAACCTAATAGAATGATGCTTCCTATCGAAGGCTATGCACAACAACCACTTGTTTCATTAGAAAAAGCGATTGCTCCGTTGATTTTGATTGTTCCAGATATAGAACGAAAAACATGGCTTGCTATAGAAAACTCAAAGACTCCGGCGGATGGATTGACATCAGGTGAATCAGCTTCTATTATGCTATATTCAATGGAATGGAATAAAAAGGAAGAAAGTCTTTACTATATTCTTAATTCTACGCTTCGTAAAGAAAAGCGGGACTTATTACAACCATGGTTTCTCTATCTAAAACTGATGTTAACAGGTCTCGGCAAACTACCGTCGATCATAGGTCGTACTTTTTTTCGTGGAGTTAAAGGTGATTTCAGTAAGAATTATCAGCAAGGCAATAAAATCGTATGGTGGGGTTTTTCATCATGCACTTCGACAATTAATGTACTAGAACAAGAAGAAATTTTGGGCAAAACCGGTGTTCGTACTTTATTCGCTATTGAATCTAAAAGTGCGAAAGATATTCGACATCATTCAATTTATCCTGATGAAAATGAAATTTTATTCTTACCAGCTACTCAGTTTGAAGTTATTGGTCAATATCAACCATCAAAGAATGTTTTTATAATTCAGTTACAAGAGACTGAACCATTATACCCTCTTCGACATCCGGTTTAACATATTCAATTTGTCTACAATCTCTATAAACAACTAATCAATAAAACAGAATTTTAAATGTTTTGTTTTTGAACTTTCTTCGAGATGAGGTTACTCTGAAGAAAACACGTAAATTTCCAAATTTTTTTAGGCTAGATTTATAGATATTGAGAAATAAAAAACTTATCAGTACTAACCTCTAAACTAAAATATAGAACTCACTTCTAGTCCAACATCTTGTAAGCAAGATCTTGACCAAGATATAAGGTACAGAAATATTAACAGATCTTGAGTACAGATATGTAAAATCTTCTTTACACATATATAAGATCTTGGACATATATTAAGATACAATGTATTTCATATATCATTATTTGCGACACAACTCATGATATATTTTGAAACCATGGTTTGAGGGTGTGTGGGTGTGGATAACGGTGAACAGAAAAACATCTTCCACACCCTCATTCAATCCAACATATCACTTTATGCATAATGAGATATGTTATTGTGAAGAGTGGAGCGAGTTCTATAAGTCTGTCAGCAAAAGAAATGCAAAGGCTCTTATATCGGATAAAAAAACAACATGAAATATTGAATAGTGCTTTCCGAGTCATCTGTTTTGGAAAAAAAGTGACGGTATCGTTGAGTTATCTTTGAAATTCATAGTTTATGAAAACAATTATTTGCAAGGGCATCTATAATATCGAAAGTTTATCACAGTTATTTTAAAAAGATTTATTTGACTCCTTATTTCGATATACATACGTGCTGTTTTCGGGTGTGAGTGTGGGTGGGTGTGGATGTAGATGAAGAGTTATCAGACCCACACCCATCCACACCCACACCCACCCACACCCTCATATACATGTCCACCGCGGTGTACGAAAACGCGACTAACCGCGATATATTATACCGCGGTCATAAACATGTCCACTGCGGTATATGAAAACGCGACTGACCGCGATATATTATACCGCCGTCACCATAATATTCACCGCGGTTTATGAAAACGCGACTAATCGCGATATATTATACCGCGGTCCCCATAGTATTCACCGCGGTTTGCTTTGAACGCGGTGATAAAAAAACGCGGTTAACAGCGGTCTGTTCAGCGACACCACGGTGTCATGTTGGAAAACCGCGGTGAGTTTAAAAACACCGTGGTTGACCGCGGTTTTGCTCCAAAAATTTTTCCGTGGGTATACAATACTTCTGTTTAATAGATTTATTTGAAAGAAATATAATAGAAAAAAAAACATTTGTATTTATTGAACTGTGCTAAACTCGATTTCTCATTAAAAAGATCTCATGCTATTAATCAACGTATAGTTTGAAGATTTAGAATTTTTAGCTTATGGAATTTTGGAAAGATGAATAGATAACAAAAGCTTGTTCTAATGATACAAAATAAAATTTTTATTACATCGAGTATTTAGTTATTTTGTAACATTAAAAGTATTATTTCATTTAAGTTTGATGCCAACAATAACTGAGAAACGAATCATAGGTATCAATATTGTTGATAATTTACTTTTATGAAATATAGATAGCTACAACTGTAAGAAAATTCTAAGAGAATAAAAAGAAAAACAAAAATATTCGTGAAGCAGCTTATGAAATCTTTCAGTTGAGTAGAATTGCGAGCTCCATAATATGTTTTCAAAAAGAAAAAAAGGAAAACATTTTATTATAAACGTTCACCAGATAAATAACCAAGGGGAATTGTTCCGATATGTCTAAGCTTAATTCGACACAATCTACATCTTGACTTGCGCATCTTTTTTCGTTCGTTCCTCTTATCCTTCTTCTTCACATGAATATGTTCAAATTTGAACATATTCAATAGAAGCGGAATAATCAGAGGAAAGAACGAAAAAGATAGTAAGAAGTGAATCGTTTAATAAGAGATAGAGAGAACGAATGGATGGGAAAAGACAGAAAGGAAAAATATAAGGGAAAAGATATTAATTGTAAGAGATCGCTTGAATGCGACAATTGAAAGGCCTTTTTTGGGATGTGAGTGTAGTCGTCATTATAGGATTTTAGGTTTGGGTTTAGATTCGTGTGTGTGTATGTAGTTATAGACGAAGACAAGACTCAGTCACATCTGATGGATTATCTTATGTTGGTGCTAAAAATATTGCAAAAAAATATGGTGGATCATGACGTAAGGAAGGTTAGCAGCGGATTAGAGTTTTTCCTGCTGATATGCGCTCCTATACTTGGGTTGAGTTTCTAGTTGCTTGGGCTAGATGCAGAATTCAATTCTTTACGAAACGCTGATATTGAATGCGCAATTCTGTGTGACACCAGTTACTAGTGTTCGGCGAGGAGGGCAGATGTTAGCTCTCTTCAAATATACGTTGATAGCATCCATTTCAAACATGTGTCCGCAAGGTACTGTTGTTGCAGGATTATCCATAATATCGAATGTAATCGGACAAGTGAATAAATCTTTATTGAGTATACCTCGTAATGAGTTTTCAACTGGCTTTGTAGCAGTTGTTCGTGTTGATAACGATTCAAGATCGATCATATCTAAAATTGCATCATTGGCTGCTGTTTGCTGTGCTTTTGGAGCAATGCAGGTAGACTCTGAAGTTGTGGAGAACTCATAATCACTCGCAATTGTCGTGCCAATTTTCTGTGCTGTTGTTTCAGATATTCTCGAAGGCCAGGTTTATCCAAATGAATGAACGGCACAATTTGAAAAGCAGTCGATTCTGTTGTGGATTTTTGTCCACATTCAATAGCATAATCAAGCTCTGTGATACCATCCGATGCTTGTTGACCAGCTAAGCGTGCATATTCACCAAACCCATGTAATGCTCCAGCAACAAAGCGATCATTACGATGTGACACTAAACAATCAATAATGATTGATCTGGTGATGTTTATTGTAACTTTTTTCGGTTGGCAATGTAGCGCCTTGACAAGCAGCTTTGGTCGTAGCTATCTTCTCACTTATTAAGTCTGGCGATCCCCAAACTACACATGGAATTGTTTTGAGTCGATCACTTATTGTATAGATGCGTGCATTGATTTCATTGGATGAGTAAGAATTACCGCCGAGTTCTTTCAATTGATCACGTAAAATGTCAACATCTTTTCGAGTACAAGTATTGTAAAGTTCAATGGCACCGTTAGGAAAGTTGGGATATTCACGAAGAGATAAATATCATGGTCTAACTACAGAACCATGCTTCTTTAATACGTGGCATATAAAAGTGAGTTCTGTTGCATAATTATATCCTTGACAGGGTTCCAAAATACCAGTTGAACTTCTTGTTAACATAAGTAATACTTCAAAACCGAGACACGTTCCCCATAAAGGAAAACTTTTTTGTATTTCATCAAAATCCTAACAATTAATATACATGAAATAATAAAAATTTCCTTGTAATTTACTTTTAATGACCACATATAAAAAAGTTTAGCAACAGAATAATATTCATCAGTCAAATCTCCGCCAGGAAAGAGTACTCTAAAAAAAAGTCAATATAAAGAAAAAGATTTTCTTTTCTTCTTTTTCTTTATTAGCAAACCCATTTAGCGAATTAAACAAATGAAAATAATAATCTATTGATTGATACATTCTATAAAATTAAGAAAAAACAAATTATAATTCAAAATGTATTTTTTGCTTGAATCTTTTACCTTATAGGTACAACTTGAGCACCAGTTGCTTCGATATATTTTACGTAAGAAGCTGCTATATAAGTAGTGCGATTTGGTTTCATCCATAATGTTGGAGTTGGTTGAGTTAAAATTCCTTAATTATATGAATGAAATCATATTTGACTATACAATCATATTGTTTATTTTACCAATAATTGGTCGAGTATTTTCTGTAGTTGGATCTTTATGTTTCTTATACCCATTAATTTGTGCAATGGTTAGAATTATTAATAATAATTTAATCATCATCTTATTGGAATTTATCCAAATCTAAAAAAAGAAAACAATTCTTCATTACTAACATTAAATTCACTCGTAAGTTATTCTTGTTTTCTAGTATCTGAATAAATCTTGTTTCGAGGTTATGCAATATATTTTGTCGTTTTCGTTAAGTATGACCTACGATAAAAAGAAGAGATACAGAATGATAATTTTTTTTGTTGGTTATAAAACATAGGAATTATATTTTCAAATTTTCAGTATTTATTGATTGTTTAGAATTTTTCGAATGAATTGCTTTAGTAGAAATTTCAAATTATTTAAAACATAAATCAATATCAACAAAAGTTAATAAATAATTTGGTCACTTAACAAATAATAATTGTTTTTTATTATCATCTGATGAAGATATAATTAATAATTTATTATGAAATTGATTTTGTCATGTTTCTATCTACAATAAAAGATCATTCAAATCAATCCAATACTTGGACAACATCATTCGTCAGCGACGTGACTTTACAAAGTTAAAACACGTATATCTCCAGATAAAGAATTTTATAAGAGATAATTTTTAAATTTTACATATATGTTAAGTTACTTCAGATAATTTGAAAAAAAACTCAGCACTAGAGACCTCTCTTGAGCGATGTTATCCGTTAAAAAACCAATGTGAATGGTGTAACACAAGAAAGATATCGACTTTCACGTCACGCATTTTAGTTAAAAAACCACGGAATGGAGGTAGCATCAGTGAAAACTAAATAATGAATTCTGAATGTGCACGGGATGTGCGTATGGACTTGAATAGGCGTGTGAGTGTTGTTCTGAATGTATTGTGAGTAAGGTGTTATCGTTGTAAAGACTGGTGAATCTTTAATTTGTTTGAACGCCCTTAGTAGTTTTTATATTGTGTTTATTTGCATAAAGTATATCGAAATAATTTTTTTTCTAGTACCTTATGCAACACAAAAGACTTCTTCACATGCTGTGTTTTCGAGAAGGATTTCTATTCTATGTAATTCGTTGATCTTCATATGATATTGAACTTTTCCCATCAAATACTCTGTATTCAATCGAAGTAATATCTCATCTATGTGTTACACTTGTGAGCGCAACTCTTACTTTCATTTTTTGGTCGTATTCGAAAAGAGACAAATTAGAATCTTTCATGTTTTTTTAACGAGAAAAAGTTAAAGAAGTCGAAAAAGGAGAGAGTCCCATCCCTGATTACATTCTAATGATCTTTACCAGATAATATCTTTAATCATCGCCTGATTTCTTTCTCGTGTATTATTTCGATGATAGCCGCTTATACTCTTTAATTAACATGAAAATCCGAGATATTCAAGTGGTTTGCAATGTTCCAAAAGTTTATTTGGTGTTCACACTAAGCGAACGAAAGCCCGACAACATAGATATATGAGATTCTTTATTTCAAATTTAAAAATAAAATCTACATCGATACAAACGTAAGTTTGTTTTTATTTACACGACTATAACTATTGTGTGACTACTGTTCGATACCAATAGAATTGTAATTGATCGATAAAAAGTCCTGATCTTCCGGTCGCATAACCCAACGTATATCCATCGTATTCTTCGGTGAAAACTTCACCTTCCAGGTGATCGTAAGATCGACTTGTTCGACCTTTGCTAGTAAAAAATTGCAGTCCTCGTACTAATATTGTTGAAAATAGCGTACCATCTTGCGAAGATAATGTTACATTACTTAGTTTTCCACGAATCTTATATATTCTTTCATCTTTTTCGAGTAGAAATTGTGAAACTTCGCTTGTTCGTCGAAAACCATGAGTTTGTCCTTCAATCACACTATTTTGATCATAAGAAGATGAATAAATAAATTGAATCCAATCTAGAGGCATATCATCATCATTATCATTCCTAATGATAATCCTACTGAGATAATGGGAGCACGTAAAATTTTCTGTTGATGAATCATCAAATAAACTACCTCCAGTACCACCAAACTTTTGACCAGCTTTAATTAATAAGGTACCTAATCAGAATTTGTTGAAAAATTTTACTTCAAAAATGAGACATTTTATCTTACTTTTTTCTTTCTCAAGAGCTTCTCTTTGCTTAATAAGCTGTTTAATTGTCTGATTAATTTTTAATTGTTGTTCTAAAAGAATGTGTTCTTTGATTATTAAATGATGTGCCAATACATTCGCACGATAATAAGTTCGGACACAGAATATTGTTAATAATATCAATGCAATAATTAGTAATAGAAACAATATTACCAAAAATTTGTGTGTCATCAATATTGGATTTGGTAATAGCTTATGTAGCAATTGTGAAAATGAAATCGACGAAGGACTATTGATGGTAGACATTCGGTTGATATTTGTATCATTGATATCAATAATAGTGTCATTATTAGAAGATATTGGTGGATTGATGGAAGCTAATTGAATGATAACACACAACAATATAGAATTATAAGAGCTTATAAATACTTACGTTTATTAGTGGGAAATGTATCTTCTTGATCTTCGAAAAGTTGATTCAACATCGGTGGCATTATTGATGTTAAACTCTGCATTGGCCTAAGTGTTGCATTTGGTTGCAATCGTTTCATGTGTTCTAGACAGACAGAACAAAAATAGAAGCGATACTGATAAGTGAACTTCTCGAAGTGTTCAATCGCCTGTGAATTGATATTTTTTTCATAGATAGAGAGAATTCAGAGAACAGGATTATCCTAGATTAGTATTCTATGTTTGATCGAAATATCAACTCAGAAGTGATCGAGCATCTCATTAGAGTCACCAGTATACCTGTTAAAACTTTAGCAGCATCAATGCATTGAATTTCAGTGAAGGCATTTATGAGAAAAGTGAAATCATATTCACTGATTTTATCTTGATCAAAGAGAGATTCCATAAGACTAAGTGTACCACTAAGTGATGGGTCATCTCGAATTCGTCGTGGAATATCGTTTCCAAGAAAGAAATGCAAACGTTTACGATCGTTATCACTTAGACGATCTTGAAGTTTTAATAGAATAGCTCGTAAATGATGATGATCCATGAATCAAATATTATTTTTTCTAAAATCAAAGAAAATAATTTATTTTGTACCGTAATAATGAAGATTCTATGAATGGCTGTAAAAGTGAAAGAGAATCTATCTCAAATCACGTATCCAACTCTTCTCTACAGCATAGAAGACTACTTCATGCGTAAGATGATATCTGGAAAATTTTCGATCCTAAAATAATCATACACACTATTATATTCACTTTTGTATATTAGATAGTCAGATAATCGATTGATGAATAAAGAAGTAACGCATTATCGGGCAAAAGAACAATAAAGAGATGAAACTCGTACAAACTTTGAAAAAGTAAGATAATCTGTCCATTATCATGTGAATTCCTCTTTGACTTCACTGAGTTGTCAGACAGACAAAAACATAAATTCCAAACTATCAGTCTTAAAAGATCAGTAGAAAGCTCTTACTATAGTCCAAACAATAAAAAGTACGATTTAAAATTTGATTT